TACTTTTTTTCCTTAAAATGTCGGCTGATGTTGCAGATGATGACGCTTCGACCCTCTTAAAACTCTCAAAAACACCTTCAGGGTGGAGCTTGAGGTGACCTCAGTCAGGCCATAAGGCTTGAGAATTTTGCACCCACTAACGATCTCGACCGACACGAACATTCTTCGGAAAATTTGGATAGTCAAGACAAAAAATCTGAGAAAACGGTAACGTCAGACCATACAGCGACATCGACATCGTGTCTGTGCTGCCAGTTTGGTCATTAGTCTGCTCCCTCACATATTGCGCTAATTAAAAAGCGTTTACAGGTTCCAGATACACGTCCATCGCTTCCACACAGACGTCTGGCTTCCACACACACAATCACAAAAATACAACACCGTCTGCAAACCTTGCCCGACTATTCCGTGCAAAATATATGGAAGCCCAGAAAGGCCACATGAAGCTTATACTCGATCGTAACCCCATCTAAAAACACGTTAAAATTGTGCAGCAGCAGGATTCCAGTCAAGCCAGTGAGTTTGGCGGTTTTGAGTCATCATCTTTCATTGAACCAAAAAAAAAAAAATTAAATTGCCGACGCGCATGACTAAGGCGACGCGCGCGCATACCAGAAACCGGAGCCTTTTTTTATGGGCCTTATCTACGATATTTTGTCGGGAGATTTCACTAAACCTAGTTCGTACTAGTGTTCAAGAAAATTTTTGTTCTTGCATGGTACAAACATGCCTTGTAATTGTAAACGTGAATACACAATCACGGTATAGCGATGTAAAGTTTGGGGCGAAATTTCACAACAGAAACTAACAATAGCCACTGCGTTTCGTAATCGATTTTTATAAAAAGAAATTCCCTTAATATATTTCGAAGTCCCTCCCTCTATCTTCGATATTTTGTTAGGAAAGTTCCCTTAATCTAGTACGTACTATAGGTTTTCCCGGACAATTTCGGAAAATGTGTACACGAATTTGTAAAAGAAGCATTTGTTTTCGTGCGAAATAGAATGAACGTTCCAAATCTCTGTTTCTATTTAACAAATGATAATTCTTTTTCCGTGAAAGTGCATTCAGTCGTAAAAAATCAGCGTACGATTTCCCGAATGTGCACTGCATTTAGTGTATTGTCATTTCATTTTAGCGCGAAATCGGAGGCACATCCGCAATCCTGTTTTCCTTTTAATTTATCATCAATCTTTTTCGCTAAATGTGCAGCCGATTTCCCTCGCAGTGTTATTTAACGTATGCCTGGTCAAGCATTGGAATTCATTTATGTGTTAAAGTAACAGTTGAGGAATGGTTGATTGAATGATTGAATTTTTGAATATTCAAAAAGTCCCCATGCAGATCCCATGTAACATGACACGTGATGTGTCCCTTTACCGTCTCAATAATATGGCTACAAGATTATTTTGAGTGATTTCATATTGGTCATATTAAATATCATTTTCACATTTCATTTGCCTACATTTCACATAGGCGTGTATATCAGAACAAACACATTAATGATCAATAAGGCATACATTGATTAATTAATGAATCATTAATTAATGAATCAAAGTTGTATCATGATTTGTATCGGCCTGAATAATTTATTTAAATTGAATGCCGAAAATGCGAATTTAAATTGTAACAAATGAAGAAGAATGTTCAATTCAGCCTGTGTCACAATAGACGATCGATTTTCTGCGAATTGGATTGCACATTCGTAATAATCGGCAACGCATACGCCAAACCGAAAACCTAATCACGTATTTATAATCCCTTAAATGAAACGTTATGCACATTCGTTCATTTGATTGATGCAAAATGACATCGAATGCTAGTTATTGCGAAAATGAAACCAGGATGTACGTCGTTTCTCAAACTCGGCGCCAAATTGAATTTATGTTTTACAAATTCAAACGCACATTTTCCGAAATTGTCCGGAAAAACCTATATTAAAAGTGTTATTAAAGACAAATATTGTTCTTGCACTAGCATACTTTAACGTGAATTATATAATCACCGTAGCGTAGCGATTGCATGTGATGATTAACTATAAAAAAAAAAAAAAAAAAAAAATAAAGAAAATATAAAATTAGGAAAAAAGTGAATTTGAACGTTATGAAATTTGGACTTTATTTCCCCTCTAAAAAAAATCCTCCGAAGCCTCAGGTTAGAAAAGGAATAAAAATCGGGTGCAAAACCGAGATTCGAACCCGCAACCTCCTTCCCTTTATCGACTGTGACACACTTCTCGCCAAAATGCGGGGAAACAAATAATTATATACCTGCGTGCGTATCATAAAAGTATTGTAGAGGGCGCTAAACAACCATGTATGCGGATGTCGTTTGGGAGAAAAAAAATCGCGGCCGGGCTACCTAAATTTCACCACAGACACGACATTTACATCATTAGATTACCAAGATTCCATTCACATCAACGTCCACACGTAACTCGTGTTGAACTATTTACCCAAACCTTCACAGGAATTTCACAATCACGTCCAAATATTATCTATAAATCCTCAAAAACAAGAACAACCTACCGTTTAGGTGACGCACGGGTTGCCGGGGATCGGGACGCCATTTTTCCTGACGCAATATGGGCAAATATTCGAAACTGGGCCATTATACGCGATATGCCGGGAACGTTCCGCTGGAACGCGCAGTATGGAATGCGTGTTCCCGGTGTCATACTAAAATCCGACTCCTATGATGAAAATAGGACCCCTTTTCCCTATTGTTGATTAATCCCTCACACGTGACAGGTCACTCTACTATAATTATATAGGCCTACAAATAGGCTATAATCACTCTTACGCATGCACGATACTACCAACGAGTCCATATTTCATGGAGTCGGAAGCATGCTACACCTGCTGTTCCGCTAGACCGTTCTCACAAGAGGGATTGTGCCGCCACGTTCCGACGGAACGGTCCTCTGTTCCCAATGTGGAACGCCGGAGCGTTCCAGTTCGGGATCGGAATCGGGTTCGTAAGTAAATACGTCATGTACACGCGCGCGCACAATACCACTGATTACTAGCGCCCATCGGATAAACGCTCGAGGTGCGTTAATTTCCGGTCTAATTCGCGCTATGCTACTCCGTGTGAAGTGTGCAAGGTTGAATTGAGATGACGTCACACTAATGAACCAAATATGCCGTTCCAATAAGAACGTTCCGAGCGTTCTGACTTATGAGACGTTTAGGCACGCACGTAATCCACTTCTTTCACCACGGAGGAAAACCTGCCTAAATTAAGTCACAGTTAGAGAAAATCTGCTTAACTATTAAACACGTAGAAACAACACACGCGTTTCATGAAGTCTTAGGCAAACAGATGTTTTCGTCACCGTAGTAATTAATTTTTGTCCTCATGGACTGCGACTTCATTAAGTATAAGCAAGGTTTGTGCCCCCCCCCCCTCCCACAAATGCCCAGTGTCCCTCACAAAAAAGCCCTGAAATATGCCACTTGCCATGGAAGTGTCTTTTATTAGTAGTGAAACAGAGGAGAAGTGAAGTTGAGTCTTTTTTATCGATCTAATCCCTTAATTTCCTTGACCCTATGACTTCATGAAATACGAATAAATTGAAAAGAAAAAAGAGGGCCCTCTAGCCTCAAATGAGTTCATATGATAAGGACCATAGAAGAAGAAAAGGGGACGCCTTAACAGCGCAGCGGCCATCTTAGAGGGCAATGCCTTAGTTTTAATGGGATATGCATGAGTGAACCTTTTGGGCATTCATTTTTGAGGAATTCAAGATGACAAAAGATGGCGTCTAAGAGGGTCGCTGCGCATAAGGTCTTATACATGGAATTTGCATCAAACAACTTGTCAAATCAGTTGAACTGAAGTTATTATCAGTGGCGTAGCCACCGGGGGGGGGGGGCGTGGGGGGGGGGCGACCGCCCCCCATGAAACCTTGTCGCCCCCCCCCCCCCCCCCCCCCAGTCGCCCCCCCACTGAGATTTTGAGTTTCTAAAAACATTATCAGTGATCTACATGACGCCATGGGCCCTATTATGTACTACACTGTATCTTTTGCTTAGAAAATATTGGTTAAAGTGGTCAGAAATTGCCTCAGATAGCACCACAGAGCATTTAGAATCCAACATTTTTCGGGGCCCTTAAGCGGGCCCCGAACCCGACGCCTATAGCTCAGAATACCGATAGCTGATTCACTGACTCCAACCTCGAAAACAATGTTCACAAACTTTTCTTATGTCTTTAGCTGAGAAAACCTCGAAAATTATGTTTAAATTATTATCTTTTGTGCTAAGATAATTATTGGTTAAAGTGGTAAGAAATTGCCTCAGATCACACCACAGAGCATCGAAAATCCAATTTTTTTCGGGGCCCTTAAGCGGGCCCCGAATCCCACGCCAATAGCTCAGAATACCGATAGCTGATTCAATTTCTCCAACCTCGAAAACGATGTTTAAATAATTGTTCTTTTGCCTAGAAAATATTAGTTAAAGCATGGAGGAAAGTCGTAAGAAATTGCTTCAAATCACACCACAGAACATCTAGAATCCAATTTTTTTCGGGGCCCTTAAGCGGGCCCCGAACCCCACGCCGTAAGGGCTTCGCGCTTACATCAGTTATGATCAAGGTATGTCCCCCCCCCCCCACTTTTGAGAAGCGCCCCCCCCACGAAATGTTGCAGCCCCCCCCCCCCAGCGCCCCCCCCCCCCCCCCCCCACTGAAAAATTCCTGGCTACGCCACTGGTTATTATACACCCAACATGAAAGCTACTGTACACACCATTTTGTCTATGTTTGTTGCGATAACGTCCACGCTCTTTTATTAGGTTCAATTACGCTTCGCAATCCTACTCAAGCACGTGATCTGTAATGCAAATGTTCATTTTCGCATTCCTATAATGGGTCATTTTGTTTGAATGAAAGAGGGCGCTATAACGAACCCGGGGCCACTATGGGCACAACCCGACGTGGATCCCCAACCTCGTTTCCTTGGTGTTGAGCAGTACGCTGCCACTACCTGCTGTATACGAGGTTGAAAATAAAGCAAGCCCTGGATTCGAGGTTGGTGGATCCCAGGTTATTGACGTTATTTTATTATTATTATTATTATTATTATTTTTTAAGATGAATTAAAGATAATCAATTGCTCAACATGATATTTTATTCGTCCAAACATGTGGCCCGTTACCATCAGTTACTTTGCTATCGGGCAAAATTGAAAATGCAGATGCAGCGCATTATTTTATTAGGTATTGAAAAAGTCACCTGTGTTCTGTTTGACAATTCCAACCCCCCCCCCCCCGAAAAATTTCAAAACCATTAACTGACATTCAGTGCACCAGTAAATCCTTGAAACATGATGATTCTTTGTTTTGTCTTAGGGAAATAAAATGTTCATTACATGTACTTAATTTAATTGGCTAACTTTAAGCTTAAGATACACTGCGTAATATACAAGCGGACTTGTCATGCAAATTCACATCAGTGTAAATTAATGTATACAAAGTGAATTCTTATACTGTTAACAAAAGCCGTGCTTTCTAAGACTAATGGTTGTTTTTGTTTGTACTGCATGAAACCAAAATTTACTTCTTATTACATTTTTCAAGTGCCATTTCTTTAACGAATTCGGATTAGTTGAGTGCAATATTAAAACTTGTAGCTATTCTACAGTGAAAATTTCAAAGTGCAGATTGTTAGACAAGCAAAATTATATTCTTACGAAAAAAAGAACATTTTCTACGGATTTCCTCACTCTAAATAAAATACACTTAAAACGAATACAATTATCGTTTATGAAACACACTGTTTAGCACCATTCTGAAGCTGTGGCAGTAGATTGTACAAAATTGCAATTGGATTACTTGCGACCATTTCACTGCAAGATACAGGCGAATTAAAGTCTCTAATTAGCAGAGAGACAAAGTAAAGCGCGCCTTATCTGTCAACAAATGTCTCTACTTCCATCTATTTGTTTCATATCAAAGTTATCATAATTACATTGGATACTATACTCACATATCACCCAAATTCAAACAAATTGTCGGTGCACAATCAAAGTCTTAAATCTGGCTTGATATTAAGAATCCAAAAAGTTTTATATACAACGGGTGAAATTGAAACTGAAGCTATCCTAGCATTTGACGTATTCCAGATATCCAGACTGCTTTTTGTTTTATTTCACAGGGATTTTGGAAAAGAAAAGTAGCAGTTTAACCTGCTTTGTTGTTGAGGTCTATATAAGGCTGATACGGGTACGGATTGACGAGCTGCTGAGCTCCGGGATAGTTGCAGTATTCGCAGTAGCCCGCATTACCTTGCGGGCCAGAGGGTCCGCGGCGTCCGGTAGCTCCGTTCGGTCCGCGTGGGCCCGGTGCGCCGTCCTTACCGTTCCGGCCAATCCCTGGGTCGCCCGGAAGACCTTTTTTTGTGAAAAAACAAAAATGAAACAAAGAGAGAATTGGTGGATCAAAATGCACGAAGGGAGCGGCGACGACTCCTTTTAAATGTTACAGGGGGAGAATAACATCTGGAAAATTAGGTATAGCTTTACCAACTATTGCGGGGATGTATTACACTGGTGTCCCCTGCCCAAGACATAATGGACAAACTCCCCTCACCCCACCCGATCACACATCCCGACATTGGTATCCTTGTGGAGACATCGCTTTGTTCTCGTGTACAAAAAGGTTAGAGGGTCGAAACATATTTTCCAAACGCTCCTATTTGAACTAGAATTACTTTCCTGGGTCAACATTTTGACCAAAATGTCCCTCGCATAACAGATTGTAATTTGCGGCAGAGAAGTACACCTTAGAAAATACTAGTTTTTAGTAAAATCAATCTATTTCGTGAAATGCTTGTGGAGACCTTTACATCTTTAGAATTTTCCTGTGGAGACCTTTTGTTCCGTATTATTCGCGGGTCTCCATAGGGTACAGTTTTGGAATCGCCCCTCCAGGTTCTCCACACAGGGCAATTTTTCATGGAGGTGCTAAGCCGAAAAAATTGCTTAGCCCATTTTTGTGTCAAGCAGACATCGAAAGAGTACCAGTTGAACAGCAATATACATGGCATGACATTGGTTGGTAACCCGTTCTTGCTTAGCAAATCTCACCTGTGCTTAGCAGAAATGGGGCTCAGCAGCGCCATAAAATTAGCCGACTGTCATTTCATATAAAAAGAGGTTTTCAATCCCTGCATGATTCAGCGGGGTTTCATATAAAATCCATCTTGTTTTTGTCGCCAAACTCTAAATTTGAACATCGTATCATCATCTCCTGTTTCTCTTGGTTTCCCGGACGTCCGAGCGACAGTTCACTTTTGAAAAACCCTTCCTAAGAATGGTTAATTAAAGTAATATAAAACTTACAATGAAGTCAATTTAATTAACCTTTACCTTGTAATCCCATGTGACCTGGGAAACCGCGGCTGCCATATCCTTTGTTGCCTTTGTCACCACGAGACCCGCGTGCACCTAAAAAAAACAATCCGGATTACATATATCAATATCAGTTTCAGCAAAGAAATTGAGTAGTTCTTCTCTTCCTTTAGCTTGCATTGCACAAGTTGCCTCAATACTGTAAAAAAGAATGCTTGCATACACTCTAAAATGCCTCTTGTTTGATTGACCCGGAATCCGGATTTTATATGGCCTAGTAGTACGTTTCAGGGTAAAAAAACGACACTTTTCAGGGTCAAAATAACACTTGTATGGATAATTTTCCTGGTCATTTTGACAAGGACACTGGCAAAAGTGTCATTTCTATAAAATGCCTCTTGCCAGATTTACCCAGTATCCGGGTTTAATTTAGTCAAGTACATTTCAGGATCAAAAAAGACACTTTTCCGGGTCAAACTGACACTTCTCTAGGTCATTTTCCGGGTCATGCGGACCAGGAGACCTTGGCAAAAAATGTTATTTCTCTAAAATGTCTCGTCAGCGTGATCCGGAATCCAGGTTTCGGCCTTGTACATTTCTGGGTCAAAAATGACGGTTTCAGTGTCAAAATGACACTTCTCTGGATAATTTTCCGGGTCATTTTGACCAAGACACCTTGGTAAAAGTGTCATTTCAGACCCAGAAAGATGTCATTTTTGGACCCTGAAAAGTACCAGGCCAAATAGAACCCGGATTCTGTGTCAATCTGCATGGCCAGGGACTTTTAAGAGTGTGTAATACTTGGCTTTTTGTGCTACAAACCTTGTGGGCCGTTGAGGCCTGGGTCACCCCGTACTCCTGGTCGTCCGGGCTGGCCCGGATCACCGGCTACACCCTTGCCTCCGGGGCTGCCATTCGGTCCGGGGGTACCTCTACTACCGGGATTACCTCGGAGTGTTCTCCCTGGAGGGCCCGGCGGGCCGGTCATTCGAGACGCGATGTTCTGCATTTGACCTTTTTTGGGGGAACAAAAATGCAGGAAAAGTGAAATTGAGCCCCTGTTTAATAGGTTTCGTGACTCATAATCAACGGGTCTGGGGTTCGAATCCAGCTGCTGGTTGTGTGTTGTGTCCTTGGGCAAGCCATTTCACCTCACTTGTCTCTCTCCACGAGCAGTACAAATGGTAACCGGCATCAGTTGGGGAGTAAAACGGGATGGACTCGCATACCATCCAGGGGGAACAGAAGATATTTTCATTGTCTCCAGAATGACTTTAGTTGCTAAAGGATTCTGAGACATCCAGAATTTCAAGAAATGCATTCGTCTTTTCAAAAGTTAAAATCTAGTTACGCTGATTTTGAATCCATGCAGCATTTACCATTCAAGATGTGAAATATGGATAATCTCGTTTGTGACCTTGCACCACGAAATGAGCATAAAGTTGGAAATTGCCATTTTGCAGGACAGTGTGGCCAAACCAAACTTTTTAAAGGTTGGTGAGATTTTTGTTTTCAGATGAACCTCAATCTGTAACTCTGTTTCAACCTTACCCGTTCTATTAGTTGACTATTCATTCACGGTAATACAACAGCGGGATTTTGAAATGACATTTTCTCATAAATTAGTTGTACAACTTCAATTTAGTTAGCAGTCTATATTCCCGATACTGAACTCATTCAGAATTAAAAAATAAAAATATCTCAGTTTTTTAAATTTTTATTGCTGCGGTTACATATTCGGAATTCAATACATTGCAGTAAAACAGTCCGTTAGATTGAACTGTTCAGCTATTAAAACAAGAAAAGCTGACAGTTTTCGAATTTTTGTCTTTGAATTATGTCTGAGAGGAGTACTCTTGTTTAAATATAAATGTTGCCATGGCGTTATATAAGACTTACTCTGAAGAACCTTCTCCACTATTTTAGCGATGTCATCCTCTGTTGGTGTGAGACCCTGAAAAAATACGAACACTTTTTGTTTACAACAAAGTCTTTTCTTATGACGGTTTCGTGTCTTTCACTAGACTAAAAAACCTGAGCCATCTCAATCCCAAACCCCAAAATATTGACTAATATCAGTCTTCACAAAAACAAACCTAAACGGTTAACAGGAATTAATCCGCTAAATGGTTTCTTTCAGTGATTGTTTTCAAAAATACAATGAGCAATGAGCTATCCGGTTTTTTTAAAACATGGAGATCAGTTGAAGGTGTCGAACTATGTTATAATGGTTAACCACAGTATTCGCTGGAAAGGGTTCCAAGATTCTTGACGGGAATCGTGACTTACGGGCTGGCCCGGTTCTCCCCTGTCTCCTTGGTAGCCACGTAGTCCCGCCTCGCCTTTGACTCCGGTTGCGCCGGTGGGTCCTTGCAAGCCGCGCGGACCGACTGGGCCGTTGGGGCCAGGATCCCCGCGAGACCCCTGCTGTCCGTCCTGGAAAGAACAAGAAAGAAAGACTTTCTAAGTGCATATTTGCCCTGAACAAGGCTAAAAAAATCACTCTAGGTACAAGCTACAAGAGAAATACGAAGAAGATTAAGTCCTCATGAAAACTGAAGGTAGGAATTAACATTCTTTTTTTTTAAGGAAGGAATTAGGTCGGATCATAGGTTGGAGCAACAAGCACCTGGCAAGGAATCCCAAAAAGATGTATGGTAAGAAACTCATGTTAACAAAATCTGGTTGTTCTTGAGTGCATAGTTGCCCTGAACACGGCTAAAAGCAACTCGGGTACAGGGATATAAGAGAAATAAAACGATGAATAAGCACTCAGGAAAAAAACTTGGAATTAACATTCCTCTTGAAATAGGTCAGATCATAGGTGGGAGGGAAACAAGCACCAGGCAAGGAGTTCCAATGAAATGCATGTTATCAAACTCAAGGTAACACTGTCAGAAGATTTATGCAAAACAAAAAAAAACATTTATTATTGACGAATTATTGGAATAGCTTGTTCAATGTTCATCTGTGTTTTCATGTTTCTTTAAATTATAAATGTTAAGCTTCATGTAAGCGATTGATGTTTCCAATTAACAAAATTCGCTGGAATACTCGGCCCGCGATGAATAACATATGAAATTACATAGGCCTATTTATTAATTACTAATTGATCAATGTCCACTGATAAAATTAATGTTAAATATTATATTTAATTCATATTTATCAATTTAATAAATGAATCGGCCTATATTAACCTATATCACCTGTAACACGAAGTTAGGCAATACTATATTGAAAGACCAAAGTAAAGCACAGTAATGTGAGTGTGTTTTTTTTAGTTCGAAATTCGTTTTCTTCCATATTACTCGTAGTCCAAGGCCATTTCATAAAAATCGTCTCCGGCTTTGGCTCCACACTCCAGATTCATGATTTGAGGCTCATTAGGTTTGGGATTACCGAACAGCAACTGATCATCTGCTGTAGTGTTTGCAGTTATTCCATTTGGGCCTACCATGAAGGTCACTACCGAAGCCGCAGACAAAACCGTGCTTTCCGAAACGGCCTAGTTTCTCTTTTTTTTCACACAACACTTTGAAAAGACATTATCATGTTGCGGCCTTGATTTGTTCCTATTCAAATCAACGTAACTAAAGCGAGGCTGGAAGGAAACATAGTCTGGTTCCTTTTTGCACTTAAAAAGTTATCATTCAGTACTGTTATTGGGTACGGGGCACATGACTAACATGGTGGCAGCATGATAAAGGTCTATTACTCACCAGTCCTGGCGGGCCTATCGGTCCAGGTTTACCCTCTTCTCCAGTGCGTCCCGTGTTACCTCTCGCCCCGTTCGGTCCTCGTGCCCCTTTCACTCCGAGATCGCCCCGTGGACCCTAACGAAACAATCGAAACAGTTTACTGTTTCTAAAGGGTGAGTAAAAAAAAACAACCGAAACCCAAATGTCGGGACTATTGTTCTAGTGAAGTTCTGCATGTAGCACTTTCAAAATCTAGGATATTAAAGTTCAATTTTTAGGCTTTCTTCTAGTACAAGATGCATTCAAATCACGAATGTACTTTTTAAGTTACGGAGTTTTAAACACAACCACCGTTTTAGAGTTCTGTCCACGGATCTTAAAAAAGGTGGTCTTTTAGCAAAACGAAAACATTTTGATACGATTTCGTTTTGCTGAAAGAACACTATTTGTAATCCGTGGACAGAATTAAAACGATTGTTGTGTTTAAAATTCCGTAACTTAAAAACTACATAAGTGATATGAATAATTCTTGTACGAAAAGAAAGCTTATGAATTGGGCTTTTATATCCTAGATTTTGAAAGTGCTACATGTAGAACTTCACCAAAACAATGGTCTCGAATTTTGGTGTTTTTTTTTTACCTACCCTGTATTTCTAAAAAGTAATTAATTATAACGTCCTGAATTCTTTCTTAATTAATTTCGATCGAAAGGACAGATTCCAGCAGCAAACTTTAAATTGATGAAATTTAGCGTCGGGGATATGTCAATACAACATATCGTATCTTGTAACGAAGAAATCGGCACTCCAAGTAGTCTCCCTCAACTCTCCCGTCCTTACCGTTGAGGGGGTACTTGTGCATGGAGCCCATTTACCCGTGGTACAAAACTTACAGAATGATGATATTAAATTATTCATGGTAAAAACAGTTAACTTCACACTGTGCGTCCACAATGCGAGAAAACTGCAAAGTTTCGTCGCACAGTGCAAATAAAATCCTACCCGTACACGGCAAGGTTTAAAGGAAGGCCCACATCGGATGATTTCATGTTTGTGCACTGTTGTTTCGTTTGAAGCAACAACATTGTTCAAAGTCTTAGGAAGGGTGCATAACAACTAACTGCTTGAAGTTTCAGCTTAGTTGATCATATACATTTTTGTGAGAACAGAAAAAACGTATGCACAATTTATGTGGCCTCGTAACTGGATTCCGTTGCCGACGCACGTAAAACTGTGCTCTTATTTAAATGTTTTCTTCCGAATGACAATAATTCCATGGGGTATTTGGTACCAGTCCTATCTTCACTTTGAGCAAGAATTTCCATGTTAAATCAGTTGGTACGTTGTCAGGTAATTGCAAATTTTCCTAGGTGCCTTTACGGATGTAGACCTTTCCCCACAATGCCCTGCGGCTGAAGCGTGATTAACGCCCTCAAGAGTAGGTTTTCGGCCTAGTAAAACAGCCTTACCTGTGGGCCCATGATACCCATAGATCCTTTCAAGCCTGGTGGGCCAACGATACCCGGATCGCCATCTCTACCCTGTGAGAAAATAAACCACAGTTTTAAAAAGTAATAATCCGTTGTGATGTATTATTTTGCGATACGTCGTTAATGTACAACATATGCCTACAACTATTTCTTCAATGTCAATCTGGTTTTTGTTCGATTCCTGGTTTATCAACTATCTTATGACTTATATAACACTGACATTTTGCTTGAACACATTAACTTATAGGCGCCGGACTATTTAGGGTGGAAAACAATCACTCTGTTAGATTGAACGAGCTTTAAAAACATTATTGCAGTGGAAACTCGGTTTGAATGAAGCTGACCCCAAACGTCTTGTCCTTAGTCTCAGTTCGGCTAATGGAAAAAAAAATAACATTTCATGTTTACTAACGCATCTCTTAGGAAAAACTATATTTATTTGACTACCTAAAACTTATCGATTGAAGTCTTTCTTCCTCTTTTAAAAATTGCAGTCCTGGTTAGTGGCTCTGTGAGCTTTACCAGTAGTACCGGTACGCACTCACCTTAGGTCCCGGCCGTCCCCTGGCGCCCTGTATGCCGGGCTGACCCCGTTCTCCCTTCGGCCCCTCTGGTCCAAAAATACCAGTCTGTCCTTTCGGTCCTGGTTCACCCTATAAAAATGAGGCGAGCAAATTCAATTTCAATTCAAGAACATCAATTTCCAACAAAACCAAAAAAAAAATATCAGGACATCGAGTCATACTATATGATGGAGGCATGATTTGAAAAAGCCGAAGCTTGTGTGGGCATGCCTGACATTGATAAAACTGAAAAACAAAACTGAAAAAAAACCACTGACAATATTAAAGAACTTACAGAAAGACAGACGAAACAATTGGCAAGTACAAGCGAACACAAACAACAACCAAAAGATAGACTGACGAACAAATGACATAGAACAAGGGTCAATTAATTATCAAATTATCACTACACAGCTGCTAAATGAGGGATGACTGAGCAAAACGCGCACACCAGCATGCATTTGCACACAAATACCGCGTCATGGAACAAGAATGATCCTAACTGTTGAATGGCATTTCCCATTCCCCATGGACGAACGGGACTTCTGGAGCCCCGGCGTGAATGGGAGCAATTAACGAATAGCACGTGATGTGAGTCCCACCAATCACATGACAAGTATCTGTATGTCAGTTATATAATGTTTGATACCAACTAGCTGGTCTTTATCAACCGTTTAAAACCGGCCACGTGACGGGCCCTCGACCAATAGAAATGGGTAAACTGTCTTAGGTATTTATGAATGCATTGTCATGAAAGAAACACCTTTTTTATATGTTATGTCTGCAACCCTTATGCATGGAAAAGAAGTTTTTGTCTGGGGCTACTTTTTTACCCTGGACATAGACTGGATCCCGGTCACGATAGTATCGATTATGATAAGGAGGCGGTACCCAGTCTTGAGACCTGCATTACTGTTGAACCGCAAGTTATTCGAAATGTATACGGTATTTAGGCCTAGCTATTCCATAACTTAACTTTGGTTGATATTTTTCGTGTGATGTCTCATTAAAATGTAATAAACTTTTTTGTATTGCTAAAAAAATATAGCCATTAAAAAAAAAATCTTATTTTCGGTGAGAAACTCAAAAATAGCCCGGATATTACATCATTAATTTGACTTACGGGAGGTCCCTTTTCTCCGATGCTTCCTGTGTCACCTTTGCGGCCAGGGTTCCCGGATTGCCCCTCATCACCAGGGTCACCAATAGGTCCAGGCATTCCCTGACAAAGAAAATAAACGAGATGGAAAGTTACTTGAAAATGCACCTTTAAAACAATCAATCTGTAAGTTTAACGCAAAAAATCTTTCAGTGCACCACCGAATTTTTCGAATGAAGAGTCAACTTAAAATAAAGACACCAGTTTCCGCAATCTACAAAGCATAAGGTATTCAACTTTGCACCGAGGTCCAATATTAAAATTATACCTCTGTCAGGTCAATAAACACGGTGTTCAATTGTCTCGGTAGAACAATGTCCTATAATATTATTGTCCCCGCGGCCCGGGCAAGATATTTTACCGGTAACCATGGTTGCTCTGAATTGACGTCTTAGTGACGTCACGATTGCCACCAGACGATGAGTAAGTACTATCTTTCGCTTCGATCATGGTTTATTTCTTTCTTACCATGGGTCCGGCCAGTCCACGTTCCCCTGGCAAGCCGTCGTCTCCCCTGTCTCCTTTCTGCCCGTCAATCCCGTCCGTGCCTCGTGGTCCGGGGTTCCCAGAACTTCCCTAAATGGGACGAAACAAATTCTTTTTAGGTACCGTACCACTACACTCTAAAAACTCCCCTGTAGATCTAACCCGGAAACCGGGCTTTATTTGACCTGTATAATTTTAAGGCCAAACTGACACTTTCGGCAAGGTTTTGCGTCAATCGACTCTTTTTGTATGATTTTCGGGTCAAATTTAATGACCCGAATTATGAACATAATCAACAGAAGTGCCATATTGACTCGGAAGACAAGTTTTTGACCCTGACAAATAGCAGGTCACATTAAATCTGACCCGGCACTTTGTTGGAGTATAGTGGAAAGTTACTTTATTTAACATTTCTCAATTTTCAGCTTTCAGATAAAAGTCTAATCCTTTGTCGTAACAATGTATTTTTTTGTTTGCATTTTTTTACACAATATTATTTGTTATTATCATTCAATACTTCCCCAGTTTCATCTTTCGACACATAACGAAACGCAAATGTATCCTGATGTCACGACACCTAAAGAAAATTGCTATCTGGTATAACTTAAATATCCCTTACCTTAGCTCCTTTCACGCCCAAGAGGCCCGGTGCACCTGTACTGCCGGTAGGACCCTGTTTAGGAGATAAAATGAGTAAAAGAGGTTGCTTAATTTTGAAAAGAAGGTTAATGCAGAAAATGAACACTAACTCACGAGGCATTTTTGCTACAGGAATATTTTTGAAGTCCTCCCGAAATATAACAATGTTAGGAAACAAACGTACGGCTTCAATCTTTTTGTATTGGAACTTCCGACGAGCATCAAGCTATATTCTACCCAAATATTTTTTATTGCCCACCCGATTTTAGTTAGTTTATATATAAATATTCCTGTTTTAATATGTTAAAGCGATTGTGGATTTTATATGGGTTATGTAACCTTTTCCACAACCCGCGACAGAAATGTCGTAGTAAATAAATATAATATATATAAATATAAGCCTCATTTGAGTAGAAGTGGCTGCACTCTAAAAAGTAAATCGCAACATTTTACGCAGAATGCGGGTTCCTTTTGGCTAATACTCTTCAGGATCAAAATGACCTCTTTCCAAGGTTTCGTGGTCAAATCGACCAGGAAAATGACCGAGAGATGCGTCACTATGACGGGAAAGAGTCATTTGGACCGTGAAATGTAGCGGGTCAAGTACGACCCAAAGGGTGACAATTCACATTTTTGAAAATTCACTCCCACCGACTGTAACTAGAAACTAGACGTTTTAGAGTGTAACTCATTCAATCAAAAAGATCGAGTTTTCACTCGAGCTTCGACTGTAGTGATTCTTTTTTCAGAGTATTTCAATCTAAAATAAGAGTGATTTTCTTATAACTGCGGCCATACAGACAGGGGCGAACTGGAAAAAAAGGCTACACAATTTTGTATACTGGCGTACGGGCATACGCTTTCCAGTCGGTATAGCGATCAGTGGTGCACACTCCATGAGTCCTTCACTGGCTCCCCTAAGTAGACCATATACCGCCCTCTACAGCTTCAGCAGGTAGCCAAAGAATGATGTGAATATACTTACTGGTGGTCCAGGATTCCCAGTTGGTCCTGTGGCGCCCCGCGGTCCATCGTTACCCTTGTTGGCAAAACAAATACGATATTGCAAAGAATTAGATTGCCAGGCTAAAGTTAAGACAGGGAAGGAAATTTCTACGAATAAACCATATACAGGGTGAGTAAAAAAAACAACGAAACCCAAATATCGGGACCATTGTTTTAGTGAAGTTATGTATGTACTTTCAATATCTAAGATATGAAATCCCAATTCATAACCTTTCTTTTAGTACAAGATTAATTCAACTAAGTCATGTAATTTTCAAGTTACGGAATTTAAAACACAACCACCGTTTTAAAGTTCTGTCCACGGATCACAAAAAGGTAAGTGTTCTTTCAGCAAAACGAAAACAAAGCATATAGGGATGTGTGTAGATAAGAACACACATTTTTTTTTGGCGTCTTAAAAAAAGTCAGTTAATACAGTAAAGTCTGAACTTCACTCCCCCCCCCTCCCGCATAAGAAGCTGGCGGTCAGCATTAACATGTACGTTGATTTTCCAATGCAGCAGAAACCAACGATTAGCATTGTATAATTCAAAACCTAAGGTGTTCTACATTTCAAACCCATGAGGTATCTGTACTGAGCTACTCGTCCAATAAAATGTTTGGAAAATTCAAACACTAACCACCTTATCGCATTGTGTTTTAAACTGTTTTAACATATTAAACTGTCTTCTTGTCAGCTAAAATGAATGCTGTGTTTAAGTGTCTCGGTTTTTCAAAGTCCCCGTGTCCCCTGGCAAGATAATTTACATGTATTAACACTACAGTTGGTGCAGTGCACTCACCCTCGGTCCGATTGTACCCGGCGGTCCCTGTATTCCAGCTGGGCCTTGTACACCCTGAAAGTCAAAGTATTATTTCAAGGATATTCATACTACATTGATAGTATATCATTACATTAATTGGCGTAGAAAGCAAGCCAGAGTTACAATAACAGTGTTATACTATTTTATGAGTTCTAAAGACGCAACTTTGGCCACTGATTATTCAATTATTGTACTGATAATGCAATACAAATATGTGAAATACCCCTTTCTTTCTTTTTTACAAAAATTACATATGAAATAAAATATCTCTCGCACTTGAAAAAAGTCAAGGAAGGATTTTATTGATATTAACACAAGGCTTCTATTACATGAAATCTCCAAGTCAGCAATTATGGCCCCTCCACATAATTTGGTCAGGCAATAAATATATTGACATTGTGATACTGTCTACATGAAATATCACAGAAAGCCCTTATTGCCCCTGAACATTAATTAATCACAGATTGATTATACTGCATATTTTACTATCAACTATGAAACACGTACTTGTTCTCCTTTGTCACCACGTGGTCCTGAGGATCCTGATAGTCCCTGACTTCCCTGAAACAAAATGTACATTTTAACCGTGTAGTTCATGATACTTAATATTGAATATAGATGAGACTTCAATACACGTAACTTGCAGGTAAGATTTTCTCAAGAAGTAACTCTCGATCTTGTAAGCTTCATATATCGAAAATAGCCACCACAATGAATAAAAAAAAAAAATTATGTAGCATTCTTATAGATTAAAATGTGTTTCTTGCGTTCGCCTCTGACACCAAAAAGGATTAACTACATTTACAAAAATGTTCCTCTTTCTGGCGGGAAATAAATAAATTCTGAAAAGAGGCTTTTTATTTCCCTTTCGCTGTCATCAAGCAAACTTACCGAGCCTCCAGTTTCGCCCGTCTTTCCTGGTGGGCCTTGGGGTCCGTCGTCTCCCTGTAATAAAAAAAAAGATCACCGTGTTACGAAAACAAAACTAGGTAAAGTCTAGTAAAAGCTGGTCCCAGAGTGCACAAACTGTATTTAGTTGATTCAGAATGGCTATTCACTGGAAGTTCGTCATTTTAGTAATGGCTGGATCTCTTTATGGGCCTGTTTTAGCTCATTCATTGGCATTAAAGGGTAATCCTATACGATAGCACTGCCCGACTTACAAGTGACAGTCAGTCAGTCACTATTAGTCGGACAGTCAGTCTGTCAGTCAGTCAGATACAAAGAGAACACTGGGCTGGCCCTCTTGGACCAGCAACAATTCCGAAAGATCTCTCCATTTTAGTTCAAATCGCAAAGGAATGAAGTCATAATGTGGCAAAGGAATAGTTTCGTTGCCAATTATAACAATGATTGGGTGTTTACTTTCGTAGATTTAAGGCACTCTCCCGAAGACGGTCAGAGCATACTGACCGGAATGTCAAGTTTACACCTGTGGTTCTTTTCAGAACAATTCTCTTAGTTTGAGAAATTATTACCACATGGTGTTTCCGCGAACGTTTCATTCATGAGTATTTCCACCATGCAGAGCCTCAAATCTTACTTAATATTGATACAATATTATGCAATCAAAATCTGTGGAGTCTTTAGTTTGACTGTACCTTGGGTCCACGTGGTCCCGGTCTACCAATATCGCCTCTGGATCCTGTCTCGCCCTGTTCATCAATAAAATGGATGTTTACTGTCAAATATTTGTTTTAATTTGTTTTGTTTTTTTTTCTTTTTTTTTTACAGTTTCCCCGTTTGTGTGTGTGTGTGTTTTGGTTTAACATTATTAAAGAAAAAATTTAAACATGCAGAAAAACAGTAAGTTTCTGTTACTCCTCAACACAGAAAAAGTGCGGGCAACTTTCAAATATAGTGGCTTTACAGTGGTATATATATCACTTGATAGTTGGACAGTAACGGACTAGGTCGATGTTAAAAATACGTTTTATTAAAGCTCCATCTTATCTCATTGAAGCTAAAGTTAAGAAGAATCCACTTTGTACAAGATTTTTTGGTAAAAAAGGTGGGGGAACTCTGTATTTTTTTCTGAAATCAATTGTTCAGCACCTGTGGTCCTTGCACACCGCGAATTCCTTGAGGGCCAGGTGGTCCGGGGGGTCCCTGAAACAGTCCCAAAGAAAATTATTAATTGTTATTTGCTGTTTATTTGTTTTCTTCCATTTAAACACAACATTGCTTTCATGTATTCGTGACGATGTACCTCAGCAGTTAAATTCAAAACTGGAAGATCGTTCACTGCGAGAAACAAATGTATGGTAACCATTTTGTACAGCAATTTTCAATTTTAAAGCAGTAAAGCAAAGTGAATATCTTATTCTATAAAAGAACACAAGAATAACAAGGATTCAAAGTTATATTTGCATAATTGTACAAGAACATTATCATATGATATACAATGGGAGAACTGCAAAAGAAACATGTTAACAAACAACATCAACAAAAAGTTGCCGTTGATAAAGTTTAGTAAGTGTCAAATTAGAAAAAAAATAACTAAACGGTGACGGTAGGGGATTTGTTTCTACGGACTCCATGGACTAGCGGTAGTAGATTATTTTTGGTGTAGGCTAGAAGTGGTCCTTAAAATGAGACTACTGGTAAACGTGGAGGTAATTATGGTAAACTGGTAAACGTAGAGGTAATGATGGTAAAGTGTATAACGTAAAGGTAATGATCTGGTAAACTGGTAAAAGTGGAGGTAATGATAGTAAAGTGGTAAACGTGGAGGTAATGATAATAGTAAACTGGTAAACGTGGAGGTAATGGGAGTAAACTGGTAAATGTGGCGGTAATGATGGTAAACTGGTAACCGGTAATGATGGTGGTGTTAAAGATGATTATGAAAATGATGATGGTGTTTTTATTGGGTTGGACTAGAGTTTGCAAAACTTGGATACACTAAATGATAAAGTTCTATTCGGACATGAAATATGTGAATGTGGCTCAGGAAGGGAATTGATCACACGTATGTGGTTTTAGGTTAACAAAGAATTAGTGGTGTAATGGTGTGCGAAATGGTAACTAATTTGGTGTTCATGTTCAATCTATGCATGGTTGGTTCAAGAAATCACAACTTCAGAAGTCGCAGAGTTCTCTGGAATCTTCATGTGTCGTACTCTACTGTACACTGGTAAACAAGTTTCTAAGGAATAAAAAACTACACCAGATATGAGAGTTTCTTCCGTGTAGGATGATGATGATGAAGTGGAATCATGAAGTGATGAATGATACGGGGTCAATCTAAGGTCATTCCAGGTCATGACATCGGGTGAAAGGTCAAACGATGACGTCATTCAAACAGTATACTGACCACAATAGTCGTCGGCTCCTGGGTAAACTCACTTCCCGAGCTCTGAACAAGTAAAAACAACCGACACAGCAGCGTTTTTAACAAACAGGAACATTAAATTTAAAAAGGAATATTTACCACAATGTTTGGCGTAGGATTTGGTTCGCTTGGACCTTCAGCCTATGCTCAGATATAAAGAGTAACAAAGCAAAATACAATGATATTCAAACGCACTGAACAAAATAGTACCAAAATTAATGTGTTTCCCCCCTAAAATAGGCTCAAATATCTATTATCGATATTTGATACAAAATACTTCCGTTGTAGCGTGAATATCCGACTCCATGAAATGTGGACTCATTGGTAGTACTGCGCACGCGTGAGTACAATACTATACTATTTTTAGGATCGTTTCGGGAGAGTGACCTGTCACGTGCGAGGGATCAACCAATAATAGGGAAATAGGGGTCCCATTTTCATAGGAGTCGGATTTTCATGTGACACCGTCATTGCTATGTCATGGGTAGTGCATGGGCTATGTAAAACGTCGTACTGGGCCGATATCTCAAGTCGATGGCGTGACCTTGACCAAAAAAATCTTCAGACTATGAGGAAAGGGTGCTTTTTTAAAACTGATTTTTGGTTTCAAAAATTGTATATTATTTTTAAAATCCATACAGGCAGCCGAAGCTTGGCAGTGCAATTTCTCTTTTGATCAAGCCCTATGCAGAGGGATATTTCTCTTTTTCCATCTTGGCAAACTATTCTTTAACGATACCAATTTGCAGGTTTGACAAAATGATGTTACTCAATACCACCGCAAAAGAAACAAACCCTTCAAAAACTTAAAAACTAACAGATGATCATATTGAAATTAGCCAGATATTTTTTTTTTTGTGGCGTTAACTATGCCAAATTTGCTCTAGCAATTTGATGCTGGACTGTTTGAGAGGATTTTAATATCTTCGGCGCTGAAAAGTCCTAAACTTGCCAATTACAAGAAACCAATCGATCTGAAACACTTTTTCTCGACAAAATATTAAATTTCTTCCGAACAGTTTTGCGCAAACTGCTTGACAATTCGACTGAATCAATTCGTAACTGTAGCGCTGACAGAACGTCAAAGTTTTTTCCCCAAATTACGCAAGTCCCATACTATTGTGAAGAAATAGTGAGAGAATTATTCTCACAATATTAAGGCCTATATCACAATTTAAAAAAGGTTATATTTGACGTAATGTTCGAGTATCCGACGGAATGTTGGTATCTTACGGGTCTACCAGGAGGACCGGGCGGTCCTTGTGGTCCCATGGGGCCTTGAACGCCTTGAATACCCGGGGCACCGTCTTGAGCGTCCAGACCCTGCAAGCCAAAGTAAGACAAACGTCATCGAGACTCTGAACATTCCGAACAATGCAATTCATTCCGAACAATGCAATAAATTGGTGCTTATATATTGCTTTATACCAAAGGTCTCAAAACGCTTCCCATAACACCCGTTAGGGCCTATAAGTAAAATGATACTTACTGGTGCTCCTTGGGGTCCACGCGGCCCACGTGGACCAATGCGGCCATTTTCACCCTATAAATAGTTGGGGGGAAAAGAGACGAAACTTAAAGATCAGATAGCTCGAAACCAACTAAACACATCACAAGCACGTCTGACAAATCTATTACCACCCAGTACAAGTCTTGATCTACTTGGATGAATGACTTTTTGTACACATTGTACACTTTTGTACATTGTTGCTTCCTTGAAATAACAATGCCGATTTATAACATGCAGAATGCAAAACGCCTTATTTATACCGCATACACTTAGTGTAAGGAGAACATGTTGAAATATGCATTCCATTATTGGTCACCAATTTGTTTTAGTGTGAATGTTGTCGAAGTTAAGTTTTGGAGATTGATTTACGCAGAGACGCCCATCACCTAACAATGCCCCATTTAAAGGCCACTCAAGATACTGACAACACAAAGATGGTGTGACAAAAAGAAATCTAAGAAACAAAGCAAAAAACTTCAAGTATTGACGTTTCGCTGGAACTGGGACAGTTTCAACATGAAAACGGAATAGGCCTACACAATAGGAGTTCTCAAGGGTGAGTAAAAAAACGAAACCCGAATGTGGGGACTTTTGTTTGTGTGAACTGAGTTCTGCATGTAACACTTTGAAAATCTAGGATATGAAAGCCCAATTCATCAGCTTTCTTTGAGTACAAGAATCATTCAAATCGCTAATGTACTTTTCAATTTGCAGAATTTATAACACAACCACCGTTTTAAAATTCTGTCCACGACCACGGATCACAATAAAAGTGTGCGTTCTTTCAGTAAAACGAAAACAAATCGCATGTGATTTTTTTTCGTTTTGCTGTAAGAACAGTTACCTTTATGAGATCCGTGTCCAGAGCTTAAATATGTTTGTTGTGTTTAAAATTCAGTAACATGAAAATTACATGAGTGATTTGAATAATTTTAGTACTAAACGAATGCTTATGAATTTGGCTTTTATATCCTAGATTTTGAAATTGCTACATGCAGAACGTCAATAAAACAATGGTCCCGACATTTGGGGTTCGTTTTTTAATGACTCACCCTGTAAAGTGGCGCAGGGCATGCACAGAAACTGGATAAATACTTCCTATAATTTGTTTTAGGAACAATGACTTTATATTTATATGGATGTGAATAGATAGAGAAGCGTGTAGTGCGCCGGCCACAGCTAGCTACAGGACGGTTAGGAGGAACAACCAGAGAAAGATGGATTATTTACCGGAACTCCATTCAAACCCGGCAGGCCTGGCGAACCGGTTTCTCCCTTCAGTAAACCAAGCTGGTTAACCAGATCCTGAGAAAGGAAAAAAAACAAATCTTAATTCACAATTGTTAAATGTGTTCACTCTCAAAACAATTATCCCTGTAGGTCCTGGAGCTCAAACTCTTCTCACATCCCACTCATATTCTTGCAACAAAACAATTTTTAAAAATGCAGGCGCAGTTCCAGTGTCGGACGTCCATTTACATTTTGGTAAATTCAATAATGTGCTTAGATTTACTTATATTCACGAAGTGGATTTAATTCTGATAAAACGTATAAGTTAGTTAGTACAATGATTTAAAAAAAGGAAATTATCCATCAAATTTTTGGCTGTAATAGAAATCGGTTCAAAACACCATTACGTCTAACATACTCGGACAAGTTGATTTTTTTCTGAACTCGTTAATAATTTTTTTTCTAAGTTGCTAGTAACAGCCATACTCTTGAACACTGTTAAAAAAATAAACTATATTTCAATAAAAATAAAGTTTAAAGTAAATCAAAGTGTTGTCTGACATGAAACAATATTTATATACTACGGTGCGATATTATGAAATTTAAAGATTTTTGATGGTTTTTAAGATAATATGAATATAGTATATATTTTTTACTCTCTAAGTATACAAATATATATTTTATCATCAACAAACATATTTTCTTTGCTGTTTTGTTAATGAACCAGTTGATTCTAATACTATTTATTAATAGAAGGTATAGGGTTATTTGTTGGGACCGCAATAGAAATAAGTTGTAAAAACGTGTTTGCGTTATCCCTGCTTTTTCCACTGAATGGGGAACTCTTTATGTTTTTTATTATTTACAGTTCTAGATAATTGTTTTCATGTTAAATCTTAACTAATATGTATCATTATTATGTGGAAGTTCCGAATAAATCACATCAAATCAAATCAAATACAGATGATAAGCTTCAAAATGGTGTACAAGTTTCATATGTGTCTTTTGAACCATTCTAAAATGTTGGCATTGAGGTTTATAATTCTGTGGCATTGCCCGTGTAATGGTAAGAACAAATAAGGCAACCCCGATTCTTTTGTTTATTTATTTTTGTGTAAGATTATAATTAATTTATTGTCTATCATTCATTTTGTTTGTTCATTTATTCGTTACTGTTAACTTGTGTTAGTTTTTTTGTTTTTCATTATTTATTTGATCAGCCGAATCATCTGTTTATTGATATATTTGTCTTCGATTATGTTTTTACTTGAACATTTATGCATGGTTTTGATTTTTGACTAGTTGCATGACTTATTCATTTATGACATTATCTATTTTGTTTATCTTTCCCTCAATATTTGTTTTCATCCCATGTGTATTGTATTCATGTTTGTCCGATTGTTAGTCTTTATATGTTGAGTTGTCATTTCTGTTTTTTTTTTATCAAGGCATCTCCATATAAGCCCCCGGCTTCGGAAGTTGCCTCCAAATTACCCATTAATTTACTGTTCTTTCATTCTTATCTATCTATAATCTGAACAATATTATTTTATAACTTCACTTTGTAACATTGCTTTCCAAGCATTGTGGCATTATGGAAATAATTGTTGATTGAACTGAATTGAATTTAATATCAAATTGAAGCATTTAGTCTTAACTGTGTGCAACTGGAGGTAAGTCAAAATACCTTTATATCTAGTCACAGTTACAGCTAACAGAAATTTGGCCAAAAGCCAAAAGGTGGGCGTGTTATTTCGTAGCGACTGAATTTCCAGTCAGTATACCAAAGGACTTGTGAAGCTAGTCAGCATACAAGCTGCGTATGATAACTTAGAGAATCAACAAAGTGTTAATGTTAGAGGTAACACCAAGGGAATGAACGCCATAGTTTACCTCGATGTTGCCGAAATCTCCAGCGGGTCCCTGCGGTCCCTGTGGGCCGGGGAAGCCTGGTTGACCCTATAAAGAAAAATCAAGACTATGAATATAACACCGCAGTGTTAAATTAACACTAACTAGTATCTACATATTACACGATGTTAAAGGCACATTAGCATCATCTGCATTTAACCCAAAAGTAACCCAGCGAGTTTTTATCAAAAAGCTTAATTGGATGAAGATGGTATACTGGTACTAAACACCCCGTGAAATCATTCCGTCTGGTCTGGCTCGCTGTCATTTTGAAAAAAAATCAGCAAATGTAGGTGATTTCCATAAATCAAGGGTGGATCGGGGGGGGGGGGGAGCAACGGGGACCATAGCCCCCTAAACGATCCCCATTTTTTGTTAGTGACGTCGCTATAAAGGCAGGCACTGCGTACACCACCATCTTTTCCTCCAGAGCATTTAGAAACAACACAATTTTCGGAACCCCAAGCCGTAACTTTTTGGACCCACTTTTTGGGGGGCCAATTTGTTTTGGGCCCCCCCCCCCCAACAAAAATTGTGTTCTGGATCCGCCCTTGCCATAGATCAGTCAATTGACTGATTTTTAGAACAAAGAGTTTTATTGACGTTTTTATTTCATCACACCTTAGGCTACATATACCCGAAAAATTACGGAAATGTCTTCGAGCATTCCACAACTTCTTTAGCGTGGCTCAAAATATTAGGGTATGTTTAATCACACATTTTAAGTTATTCATCAGAGCAGACTGGTGTTAATTTTTAATGAACTTTTATTTTATTGCTTTCATTGCTCGCATGTCTTAAAATGAAGAGTTTTACCTCGCTTTCAATTTAATAAGGCCGACTCGCGAATAAAGCCTATGGGTTTTGAACTTTCTTCTTTGGGTTTTGAATGGTGTTATTATTGAAAACGAACAAAATGCATAAAAAAACGAACAGTTCTATATATGATCTTTAAGCGACACCATGCAATATGTTTTCAATATGACACGTTTTAAAGACCTGGTTCTTGCGCACCATAAAGAAAGTCAAACTAGTTGTTGAATTGTTTGTCCAACTTGTCAAAATATCTGTTTAATGTTTGAATTGTATACTTACCGGCTGACCAGTGGGCCCAGTAATCCCAGTGAAACCCGGTTCACCCTGCAATGTCCAGAAATATTTTAATATAATATCATTTTGTCGATTCGGTGCTAATTATACAATCTAGAAGCATCAATTGCAACATCGTTCTTCTATGGAAATGGCACACTGCTGGTCGAATTATCAACTGCCTACACTCTTTGGCAAACTCTTCCCAATAGTTTGACAGTTTTTACCCAATTGAACCAATATGAGGTAATTTCATACCAATGATTGGTAAATTACATTCCCCAACAGTGTTTTATCCAATCATTTTGACAGTGCAGTTGGGGAGACATTCAAATGTCTCCCTAGAGACGCCCAGTGTCTACCTATTGTCACATAATTTAGTAAAGCCTAGAAAGTGTTTCGCTGAGGTACAATTTGGAAGAATTATAGCCATTTTTTTTAATCAATCAGTTCTTATATAATTTGTCAAAGGTATAAATAATCAACTATCGGAAATAAGATGTTACAAAAGTCGTAATGTAGGCCTAAGTGTCATTCTACCCTGAAAACCAAAATGGCAAGAAAAGTCTCTTATATGATATCATTCGTTACCTTTTCTCCAGGTTCGCCGTTCGTACCATCAATACCCATAGGTCCCGGGTCACCCTATTAAAAAACACACACAACATTCTCTTTAAAAAATTAAGAACGTTGTAAATAAATCCTCAAATTTCTTCCACATAATTGGGTTTGAAGACTAGATATGGTGGTCCATAATTGAGGAGGGGGCACTGTGGTAGAAACATGTATCTCTGCTCTTGTATTAAATACACAAAGAGAGAGCAACAGATTCTTTGTTGTCCTCGAACGTACATCTTTTGTTATATTACAGGAACGAAGAGAAACACATTGCCTTGTCCTCAGGCATACTGGTAAAACACGACTGTATTTTTATGTTGTATGTGGTTCTGGGAATATTGGTTAACATATTTACACAACAAAGTAATTTAGGTTGTCTTCGAGCCATGAAGATAACGAATCTTTTGCAGTTACAATGCAGATATTTACATCAAATTTAAGAAGGGGAAAAGGAAAAATCTTACCCGTGGGCCTGGTGGTCCGGGTGGGCCGGACGAGCCTGGAGTTCCCTGTAATAGTCAAGGAGAAACACGCTCAATGTTTTTCTCAAGATTACCATTTTTATCCTAAGTACCTCTCGATGAATCAAATCCCGAACGATTAAACATCGGTGAATATAGCAGGAAAGTGCAATTGCTTTTTTATACATCAGTAAACTAAGAAGACAAATTTCCAAAATTAATTCTTAGCCTTTGAAATGAACAATACTACAAAAATCCTACTCAAGATCCTATATCGAATGCACTTTTCCCCGACTCAAAATCCTAAATAGAGAGCAGAGTACTGTAACTTATCAGAACATATTCCGTTAACGTGCACAAATCTTGTTTATATTTGCACGACTACAGGGTGAGTCAGAATGATCTGAACCCAATTTCACCATTTTATTTTTCTGGCAAAAAGAGAAAAAAAAACCTTCAGTTTTAAAATTAGTGGCTGTGGTGAGGAGTAATGCCATTTTCATTAAAGTGGCTCATTTTCCAGTCTGCACACGGAGTTGGTTTTGCCTTTTTAAAAATAAATGTGTCAACAACTTCAAGTGAGTCAGTAACCATGACAAGGTTTCAATTTGTTAATTTCACTGCTTTACATCAGTATGCGATTTCAAACAATTTGGCAAACCATGGAACTGTGTGTTTGCTAGCACTTTTCTTCAAAATGGTACAATGGATATACATAAAGCTGTCACCAAATATGTCCAAAATACCAGCCCAGATACGTATCTCGTTTGCACTTGTTTTAATAATTGCTAAAATAGTCTTAATATTTTCTTTCATTTGGGTCAAAATCATTCCAACTCACCCTGTATGCATGTGCCGGCTTCAATCTGCCTCCCTGAAAAATACTCCCCACAGCTAAAAAATATGGAGTTTGGGGGAGGAAATTTAAAACAAAATATGCTCTGGAAGATTTTTATAAGATGGATTATCGACTCACCCTGAATCCGTCCGCACCGCGCGGTCCTACCGGTCCAGACGGGCCAGGCAGGCCGGGCTCCCCATCTCTGCCCAGTCGACCAGGGCTACCAGTTGCTCCCTGTAGTATTTCACCAGACACGATAAACACAAAACAAATTAACCCTGCGAGGCGCCATCGTTTTATTTTGTTTAGGTGCAATCTGCCACAGCACTGAACTTTTCAGTATGATGGTGCATGGGTGTTACGGTCTAACAAGATATGGGCGTTTGGGTTAACATAATCCCTTCTCATAGTAGATGGATACAGGCCCTCTTTGCTCAACAAAACAATTTCAAGCCAGAGTGTGTATACATCACCAGATTACTCTGTATTTGGTTAGTACCCGTGCGAAAACGTTTCAAGTTTTATCTCCCTGCTTTCTGTTGAAAAAACATTTGAGGCTACATGTATATAGCTTAAAAGGAGGAGGACTACCTGTTTTTAGGCTTCAAAAATTGGCCCAGTGACAGGATGATCGATGGTCTTACGAAAACAGAAGCTATACTTACAGCACAATACAATTACAATACTATACGTGACAATACAAATCCTATGAGAGTTGGCCTGGGTCTGATCTTTGCCTCAGAAATTCTGAGGAAATTTGCCGGAAATGTACATGTGCTATAGATTGTAATCATACACAATTATAAACAAAAACGCTTTTGTAGGTGTTTAACACAACTTAACAAATAATTTTATCCTTAAAAAGCAATCTTATCTCTAAAACAGTTAAATCTGTGAAACCTACAATTAATCTTATGGGTCCCTTAATTGATTGTGACTAAACATCGATGGCTAAGATTATTCGTTTTGAAAATTCTTTGTGAAATACCCGGACATTTTCACAATTAACATTTTGACATCTTTAATGAAAGATTATGCCAGTTCATGGGGCTTACCGTTGGTCCTTGAGGCCCGGCTGGTCCCGCAGGGCAAATCTGCTCACAAGTCCCAGGGCCCTGCACCAAAACGATCACAACCAAAACATTTAGGCACTTGCATTGTAATGATTAACATCACGCTGAAATAGCCTCACTATACAGATCATCAGGCTTCTCTCAATCGCGAGTAAATGGCGGAATCGTTTTTACTAGCCACTAAAACTCTCAATGTCCAAATCGTTTTTACTAGCCACAAAACTCCTAATGTCAAATCGTTTTAAATAGCCACTAAAACTTTCAATGTTTAAATCATGTGTACTAATCACTGTGTACTAAAACTCCCACTAAATCTCCCAATCGTGTTTACTGGCCCTTAAACATCCTATGTCTAAATCATTTTTAACTAGCCACTTAAACCTCCAATGTCCACATCGCTGTTACTAGCCACTAAAAGTCTCAATGTCCAAACCGTTTTTACTAGTCACTAAAACTCAAGACTAAAAACAAGGCAAGACTAAAAAACTGGCCCCAGAGCCCACCAATTTCTATTCAATTAACAAAATGACTATTCACTGGAAGTATTTTCATACATGTGCCCATACACAATATGGATAGGATTCAGCCCATTCGTTGGCATTACGGGGTAATGCTATACGATAGTACTGCCCGGCTCACAAGTGAAATTCAGTCAGTGAGTCAGCCAGTTGGGGAGAAACTCCTTTTTAAAGTTTCATATATCCTTAAGTAACTGATTTTTATTTTAATTTGGTTGCCAGTTTGGTTACTACTTCAAGATGAACAATATAACCTTATATCCAGTTAAAGTGAAGATTTTAAAGCAACTGCAAGTCTATGACGTAAAAAGAAAAATATAATTTCATCAAGATAATATCCTATGAACTTAAAACAATTTTCCCCTTTAAATCGAAAGAGAGATTGGAAATATAACTTACCGGACCTTCCTTTGTCTACAAATAAAAGAGAGACAACACAATGTTAGATTACGTTGCATTCTTTTTTTTTAGTTAAGCACATGAGATTAGATTACTTAAATCAATACGCCGTAGTTTAGATCGAATGAGGGCGCAATCGTTGGGCTCAAACTACCAAAAATATCATGTTCACTGAATTAACAATTGAGTAATGTCACTTCAATCAGAAATTCCACATTGTAAATGTATAATTTTTCAGTTGGACCAGCATGTTAAACTCAGGTCAATGTAATTGGATTGTTGTCTATTCCTACGTCCAAAACTGGCGCCGTTTCAGCACGCGCAATTTGTGAAAAAAAAATCATGCTATTGACTTTTCTATCGAAAACACGTGGTTGGCAGTTTTGCCAACCACAGGTTGCCAAACTATGCAAGGCCCAACACTACAAAATGAGGAATGGTTAACAACGATTACAGAAATATAATTTGATTGTTGAAACTACAAAATAATCAATGAACGCAAAAAAAACCTTCCTATATATGCCTTTTCCTTATGTATATGAGAGCTTATTTGTAACCACGGCTTAAATTCATACGCTTGCGGCAGCCCATACAAAATGGCGCTCAATGTTTACAAACAATAGTAAGGTATATTGGCAGTTTTGATTGATTACACGCCGAGAACGTATGACGTCACCTAATCCTTAGGTCACATGCTCACTTACTGTTCACAAATAAGTACCTGAAAATGGTCCATTACCTCTCAATAGAATGTTACAACCACAGGTATGCTTATTTTCGCTTCAAAGAGGAGAATAGAGGAATTTCGAATTGGTACTGAAATCGAGGGTTTCAGCGCTGTCTTTGGAGAGGATTAAAATAGAAGATAAGGTCATCAGTTCAAACAATGGCTTATTAGCACTGAGAGCCTCCATTTCAATGCTAATTTGAAACAGGTCTATCAATCAAGGCACTTATGGAACTGAAACACAAGAGCCATGGCGAAAACACGGTATTCACTGGGCCGTTGCCTTGCCATGAATTAATAATCAGGGTTGCACCGACTTGACCTCCGAGTGTCGTCAGTACCATTATAACGAATTGGTAGTGTCTTTGCAGCTAATGAAAGTTGACCATGGCTGAGGCCAATGCCCAAGTATTTAGTCTTGTATTTCCCACAATTCTTACCGGAAGTTCTTCGCAGTTGTCTCGCTCTGGTCTCGACGGGTCGCAGTGAATGATCATCCATTGCAATTCAAACTACGGACATAAAGATCAAAGATGGATTCATTATTATTATTTACATCGATTTCATGACCAATTTGGCATAAGACCCTTGATCTGGAGGACCCTTGCCCAATAAAGTAAGGACTTGTTTCGACTTCACGACAATCAATTCCTATATAATCAGGAGACATAGGATTAAAGCATTATTAGTTTGGAAGTAAAAAGCGCATAAAAATTTCAAACAGACTTAAAGTGGCACTCACGATTCTTTTCAGCTATGTCTCAATGGGAACCTAGTGGAGTATGAGATTGTGTAAGGTAAAAATGACGGAGTAATTAAAAATTATTTAAAAATGTAATACCAATGTCTGTACTGCCGCACACCAAAGACATAAAAGGACCAGAAAAAAGATCAAGAGAAGTGCCATTCTAACCCTCGGAGGTGACAATTTGACCTGCTACAGTGTTATTTTGGCCCATTAGAGTATCATCTTGAACCTGAATAGATCAAATAGTACCCGATTTCTGGATGAAAACTGACCCGGGACTTTTTGAAGTGTAATGTACAACCGTGCCTTTTTGGTACGAAGAAACTAGTTAGCAAGCACCTTACCGGCACCGGCATGTCGCCGTCGAGGGTCCTTCCGATGCTTATCTTCCCGGAGTAGTCCACTACGCCGCGAGGCGGTGAGATCAAGGTCGACGAGACGATTTTGCAGTCGACAAAGACAGTCACTCGGTCGTTCAGGATGATGATGTGAAGTTTATGCCATTCGCCATCAAATAGTTCCTCAACGTTCCTGCAGCAGAAAAGAACATAAATTGTTACTAGTTTGCCAAAAAAATTCTATAGACCTATAATTTATTTTACTGTTCATTTACTTAATATTCTAAACCGTATACAACTGCGCTGACAGCGCCAATACAAAGACTGATATTAATCAAACAGAGCAAGACTATAAAGGAAATTGAAAATGTGAAGTCGTAAAGAGAAGAATTTTTAAGAGAATATTTTTTTTAGGTCTTTTGAGGGACTTCGTGAAAGAAAATCTGATTCAAATCAAAACGGCCATTGAATAAAGATACGATGAATGCAATATTCATCTTCACAGTATTCATCCTTATAAACTTGCACATGAAGGAGCATGAATGACAAAAGTAGCTGTGTAATATTTAAGAGTTAAGATGTGGATGAAAGAACATCGTTTTATGCTACCACACAAAATACTGTGGAGGCTTCTGGGAGACACATGCAGCTCCCTCCGTAATTCAGATAATAAGTTCGAGTCGATTAAATTTGTTCAGCCTGCAATAATGAATCTAATGGCAAACGTGGGCAGGCAAAACCTGAAAGATTTTGAAGGGTGACATGATTATACTGAACCTGACGCTGACGCTCTGTAGTTGTCTTTCAGTGTCTACGTAGACGATCTGAAGCGCTTGCACTTCGCCGTTGAGCCTGAATGCCAACTGTGGTACCTTGGCCGGGTCTCTGATCTGCCATAAGAGCCAGTCCTCCTGGCGGGCTGCCGGGGACATCTTGAAGGTGGAGACGAAGGAGAACTCATCGGGAAGACCATCAGGAAAGAGTGCGCTTGTGGAAAAATGGTCCAATCGAAGTTAGAGTGACTCAGATAGGGCCAGCCTGACTTAAAATGGGCCAGCCTGACCCAAGTGCAGAAGCCCGACTAAAAGTGCAATTATCAAGACTTAAAGTGGGTCAGCCTGAGTTCGAGTTAATCAACCTGTCTAAAAGTTGCTAAGCTTCCTCAAAATAGGTCAAGCTGATTGAAAGAGGGTCGTCCGATTGACTCAAATTGGATCAGCCTGGTTTAAAGTGGGTCAGCTTTAACCAAAGTGTGTTAACCTTACTTAAAAAAGGGAGGGTCCGCCCCTCTAAAGGTTTGTCAGCCTTCCAAGTGGGTCATGTTGACTAAAATGGGTTTTCAGATTTGACTGAAATCGAGTCAGCCTGATGTTAAGTTGGTTAGACTGACCCAAAGTGCATTAGCCTGATTCAAAGTGTATTGGTATGTCTAAAAGTTGCTCAGCCTTTCCAAAGTGGGTTTGTTTGACAACAAAATAAATTGGTCATCAGATATTGGGTTAACCTGACCTAAAGTGGGTCAGCCTGTTCGAATAAGCCAGCTTGACTGGGTCAGACCGATTTAAAGTGGGTCACACTGATTCAAAGCGGGTCAGTCAGTTCAAATATCTCCAAAAATGCAAACAAAAGATAAAGGAATGCCAGACGTAGAATGTGTAGCCAACATAGATAAGATATATGGTTTGAAATATACACATTTCCACTTTCAAATGAGACTTTACATGTTCAAATCTGATATTTTTTACCAAGTTATGTGTAATTTCCCAAAAGAGTCCAAATCTTTTTTGGCATTTTTTTTTGGAGACGCACTGTATAACAGCAGCCAGCCCCTTTTTTTGCTACAATCACAACACAATATTAATTTTGGAAACTTGATACCGCTATCAAATCTATACGATAACTTGGCTGCCAGTAGTTTTCCAGATACTCTGAATATGTGTATGATTAAGAACAAATTATGGTGTAATGACAAAATCTACCTTGTAGGGAATCGAACCAGGTCGCTCTTCTTGTTGATCTTATAGGCTGTCTGATACTCGTTAGACCCAGGAATCTCTTTTATCCCTGACGCCTGGTTGTCTAATGTGAACAGCCTGATCACATCCCAACCTTAGGAAGGAACCAATCATGTACTTAGTACAAATATCGGATAAATATCATCCAATTTGTAACAAACAGCAAAATGTTCAAACCTTAGTCTTGACTTCAAAGGTAGTAAGAAGTGAAGCAATGCGTCTCACTGAAGGTGACATGGTCCTTTGGCAGGGATTCGAACCCATTTTGAAAAAAAATGTGCTTCGAGACTGGAAATAAGTCTGTTCAAACCTCCTCAAAGCACTGCGTCAATTGCATTGGTTTTGTTCCAACGGAGCCGATTGTGTGTCTACAATCTCTTGAGTATTAGCCCTCTTCAGATTTTGCGTACATAATACGGTCAAGGTTATAGACATTCTTGCAAGATAGCTTATTGTGCACTTGCACTTGTTGAATGATGTGCTGCAAACAAAATTCAATTGTCATCACTTTGTGGTGCATTGCATTGTAAGTCAGTCTTGTAGGCTATATAATATGTACTGACCTGGTAAGTCATTTTCCCCAATCCTGATGTCGTCCGGGCACTCCAGCGTCTCCAATTGCTCTGCCAAATACAAGGGAAGTTGAACTCCTTGGCAGTTTCAAACAGTTTTTGAGAGTTGCAAGCAGCATAGCAACACCAACAAGCAGGGTCATGATGGTGATGTGGTGATGGTGGTGAATGAAGGGTTGCATCTTTGACAGCAGGGTGGGGTGAGGTTTGGGGTTGCATGGTGGTGTTTTTCACCGTCGTGGCATCGGTTTGGGGTTCGGGGTTTGTTTAGCAAAGCGTCATCATCATCAGATGAAAGGAATTGTTCACCGTTGGTGATGATGGTGTCGTCCGATGAGGATTTCCAGCATGGAATGAACGGAAGAGATAGGAGATTGGAGGGAAAATGGGTTGGCGTTAGGGTTGAATTGGTACAAGGCAATGGAAGATTAAGAGCAAGGAAAGATGGGAAAACGAGAGATATGTGGGGAAAAAAAGCGAGCGGAACAGGAAAAGGAAGACAACAGGCATTAAGGAAATCAGGGTAACATGTTCGCAGAGGGAATGCTCTCTGGCAGATTCGCAAGTAGCTTTTTGTCATGCATAAATCTTGAATATTGAAAGCTCTTCTTTAAAGGTTATTATGGACACCAAACTAATTTTTTTCCCACTAGCCCAGCCGGGCTACTGAAACAGACACTTAACTAACCCGCGGGCATTTTCATTAGCCCGCATGTTTTTTGTTTCTTTTTTAGAGAGACTCATAAACAACTATGTGCATACACGTAAAACGTGTATCCTGAGACAATCTTGTAATTTAAAAGTGTTTTAATACACAAATCTAATAATTTAACCCTAAACAGTTAATAAACTTAGACGCAAATTGATACAGGTTTGCTTTCTGAATTTAATGATTTATCTTTTGCCGTCCTTTCATCTTTGCCGTATCCCAACAATTTTTGATATCCCCAACATGGCGTGGTAATGAACTGGGTATATAATCAGGCACATTGCTACAGTTATCTAAGACCTAAATACAATTGCAATTTAAAGATATAATTCAGAGACAAATATACCTAACAACAAAATGTGGTATTCAGAAGCATTACATTCGTGGGTATTTTTTAATCAGTATTAGTCACGGTAAGTGACTTATTATGATCAGAGGGTCAGCGGTCGAATCCAGCTGCGGTCACATGTTCTGTCCTTGGGTAAGCCACTTCACCCCGACTTGCCACTCTCCACTCAGGGGTAAAATGGGTACCGCCATTAGCTGGGGAGTAACCTGCGATGGACTAGCATCCCATCCAGGGGGAGTAGAAATATTCTTCTACGTTTCATGATACTGAAACTGGAGATAAACGCCGGCCGGATAGGCCACATTAGCTCGTGACAAACTTTACTTTTGTTTTAGTTGTATAATTATTCGGTTGTATTTATCACTGTTCACCCTTCATTATACAGATCATTATCAGAGTTCTGTCGAGCCATCTCAAACCAAGTCCATTGAGCATCGCTAGCCTTGCTGCCTGCATAACTTTGACACGCCACGGCTAACTGGTTCTGGCATTTTAGGGGCTCGGCTGCCCTTGAACTAGGCACAGAACCTGGGCCGCCTGTGGCAAACAAGCTTCTCCTCATTCCAAGATAGACTGGTGTTCATTAAAGGGTGGACAAGGAGCCAATCTCTAGTTTGTTTATTTAGCGATTTTCAATGTATGAGAGGAAAAATTGTAATGTATACCCTCTATAAAAATATCAAATCCACACTGTCTTGTGGGCATAACCATATATTCAAACGTTTGATCGACATATCCTAGCAGATAGGCCTTTGATCATTAAAAATATTTTGCTGTTGAGAATTTTGTCCTTTCAATATTCAACCTTTGATAAGCTTTTGTAGCAAATTAGGTAATGCTCAATGTCAGGCTCCCCATACCAAGGTAAATATTAATACGCAAACACTGCATTTCTACTTTCAAAATAGTACTTCCAAGACATTGCTATACCTCTTCAGATGTCTAAACTCTGACCTGTAAACATTTTGATAACAATTTGTCTCTGAAATTTGTTTCGGAATTCCGAAGCAAAAATCCTTATAGCAAAGCCCTGTCATTAAACCCTTGCTTCAATCTACTTACGTGCTGTAGCTCCGATTTGATATGAAGAAAATACAAGAAATATTGCGACCATACATAACTCCAGCCTGACCGGCCATCTGTAGTGAAAGAATAGGAGAGATACAAGCTGTTTAATTGCGAACCGTAAGATATAGACCATGGTGCCACATTTTGTTTTTACAAAATTTGATGTTGTGGTCACGTGGTACCAACTTTCACCAAAGTCTGGTTCCCAGACCAAACGATTCTGACTATTCCTCATGAATCTTAGGCCAGGTAGCCTTCAGTAATACATTGTATTTCAATTTACGTCACGTGACTAAAACGGGAGGAATTCCTCCTTTTTCCGAAAATGTCCGAAGTTCGCCGAATTCATTTCGTCGACAATCGGATAGTACCCGAGTATTTCCAAGTACAATATAGGTTATATTAGCTGTCAATTGCTTATTAAAAACTTTAAAAATGAGTTGATAAAATAATAATGTTCATTGCTTTCATTTAGAAAACTTGAATTTCAACGACGATTTTGTGCATCATGCACTCGGATCGTGTAGGAGGGGCGAACTTTTTGCTGCGTCATGTACTGTTTTGAATTTGACGACCGTTACCGGGATTTTCCAAAACTCGGCGTGGTCTTCATTCGCCTCCGCCTGCTAACAGTGCTATTCGGGTGCCTAACTTTGAAGATTCCAAGTCAACATTTGTCAATGTTTTTTTTACAGAAATATCAAACTGTATTATGATAACTGTATGATATTATGAAGCAAGTGATTCATTTAAAAATTTGATCCCAACATTAAAAGCTGTAAGTGATAAAGCGAATTCGGATACGAAGCCGAGCTTTGAAAAAGGGCCGTGTATGTCGTCATGTTCATTTTTAGCCATGAAGGCTGCCTGACCTACAATTTAGACGTGAGCGTCGGGAATAATTGTCAGGTCTGGAAACCAGACTACTACCTGGCTGGTCTTGAACACTTTTCCAGTGTCACGTGAAATGATGACTCCTTTGAATTCCGGTGCCTTTTTGTTACCGTTTGATTAGTCGGTGTAAATAATTGGTGTTGGACAGATTTCTTTTGCCCAACCCTTTGAATAAAATAACCGCAATTGTCGCTCAAGTCAAGTGAAACGTTTTGAAAACTTTTGTTCACTAAAGTGTAAGCAATTGATATTTCAACAAATTTTTGGCAAGAAATCACAACTTTCCAGGTTCATACGGGATGGTGTCGGCAGGTGTAAAACTACGAGTATCATATTTACAAAAAAAATTGCCAATGGGACAATAAATCTGTGACCGCCCACGCTATAAAAAGGCTCCCCACCTGCCTCTAAATAAAAATCCATCATTTTTGCCAATCGACCAAGAAACTTCGAGACCCTTCTCACGCCCACGTAATGTGAAACGAGTCAGGTCAGGGGAGGGGTGGGAGGGAGCGCAACGTGACGGGCCACGACTACAAATCTTACCATTATCATTGCTGAGCCGTACATTTCTCTGTTAAATTCGTATGCTTAGATGGGAACCAGTTTCGAGCAATATACATTACATGATCTTTGGCTGGTAACCTGTAGCTGCTAAGCTTTTTTTTTTAAATCCTTAGTAACTCTATGAGTTAGGCAACTCCGTGAAAATGGCTCCAGGTATGATCCTACCTTTGGCCCGACCTTATAAAGGTCTTTTAAGTGGTGCATAATGGTTAAGCAGCAGGTGGCTCGCACCTGGAATGCTCCAACCGACAGGTGACTCGGCACACCACAGCGATGTGATTGGACAAACGGTCCGCACAAAAACAGCTGACGCAGACTCCGATATGTTAATTAGAAACATTGTAAAACTTGTATGTAGTTGTATTACAACACCTTTATGAATATGGGGCAGTTGAGATTTTCCTTGTCACGAAACATTTAAGGTATGACATAGTAACACAGTGAAATCTCGATAAGTCAAGCTATGATAACTCAACCCAACTGTTAAGTCAAAGAGTCCATTGCCTTCAGTAGTGATTTACAACACTGCTTAACTCAAAACTCTGCTTCAGCCAAATTTTGAGCCTGTTCCCTTGAGGCTTGACTTTTCAAGATTTCACTGTAACTAGGAAGCACCCACACAGCGAAAACCTCCGCCAAGGCTAAACATTTCCCCGCCATACTGTCAGTACACCCAAAAGAAATACTCACATAAATGGTGAAGAATCCTTTTAAAAAAATCCTGAATTCCAGACCCAGATCCGGATCCGGATCACTTCCAAAATCTAATTATTTGGTATTTGTACCAAGGACTACCCCTAAAAAAATCATGGAAATCCGTCCATAACTTTTTGAGTTATCTTGTTCACAGACAAACCAACCAACCATCCATCCAACAAACTTACCAAATCAAATAAAAACATAACCTCCTCGACAGAGGTAATAACACTTGCATAATATTAATAATATATTTTCAGGTTTTCTGTTATTATTATTATTATTTTTTTTTTTTGGGGGGGGGGCTTTTTATGTGCTTAAAGTATAGTGCAATCAGGTCACACATTTTTGCGTGGATTAAAGATCTTGAAATACCTCCGTCAGAATTTCTGAGTAAATGGAATAATTTCCCGAACCTTTTGTCCCCCCTGAATCTGTTTCATTTTAAAACTGGCCTGTTGAAGTCGACTTGACAGGTTTTGTTGGGTAAACATTAATGTAGGGACCGCAGGGAAATACCGCATCTAGGTGAACATAGCGCCACAGGCGCTTGGTTTGGAGATTAAGTACGTATAGTTTAGTGGTAGTTATTAAATAAATATCATCTGAGACCACTGTCATTAGCAGGAACGGAATCCGAGATATATTGAGGAATTCAGAGAGCTGGTTAAAGTACAGTTGATTTAAAATAAAATTGAATGGAGATAAGGGGTTGTTCACACATATTTCTCCCGCAGACCAACGGAGCACAAGTTAACCGGTACTCCTCAGAACTATGCACAACTCACACAAAAAAGGGGGGCATTGGATGTTTTTTTGTTGTTGATCAATATACCAACTAAACTGCCTACAGTTTTGGTCGAATTCTGCCCATAACTTGGCAAAGTTTACCCGGATTGACCAATGATGGAGGAACTTTAGTAATAATATGGGGCAAATAACATAGCCGAACCCTTTCTACCTAGCTTTGTTGAGTGCACAAAAGGGATGCACGCACTCAGTGATATTGCAAAATTCTTAAAGGGGCAACGAAGTGATTGTTTTCTTAGGAACTCATTTTGTACAACTGTTTCCTCCTCTTAAGTGTAGGAAAACTGTTTTACATCCCTTTTTGGTTTAATACTTTAATTGAAAAGTGCACTTCTTTAAGCATTTAAAATTGTCTATGCTTTTCCGGACAACTGAGGGCGCTGTTGCCGTAACGTCATTTCAGGAAGACAATGTTCACTTAAGGGGTTTTCTGTTCAAGTTGTGAACCCAAAATGTTGCTCATTGAAAGCATTTCTGAGAAACGTTTTGCTCATTGGCTGACTGCAATATAGGCCTACTGACACAACAACGAATCGCCAAGAAAAGAAACTTAATGATAGCAAAACATCCGAAATTCTGGCGACTTTTGGTGCTGAAATAGCTGTAACATTGAGGTTTCTGCCTGAAATGACATCACACTTTTGCTCATGAATATGGAAATTTCCATAAGCATAAAAACCAAAACAGGCACCAAAACACAATTCGGGCGATTTACAATGCAGTGCGCCACCAAGAGTTTGCCACGGAGAGTTCATTTTTCCCAGTGCATTGTGGGAAATGGTCGACAAATTTGCAGAGCGGGACATTTGAAATCGTTACTTTTTCAGGTCAGTAGTGTCGTAAGCGTATGATTTGAGGATCTGTTTGCCATTTTCTTTTTGTCTACTGACACTCATTCAAATGGGCATGTTTTGTCGACCGTAAACTTGAAAAAATGGACTCTCCATGGCAAACTCTTGGCGCACTGCATTGTGAATCGCCCGAATTGAAAATGGAAAAACAATAATTGAAAATAAGGTTAAATGGGACACAAACGTGCATTTTCAAGAATTGCATTAAAAAAAATAGGCCCTTTAACATTATACGAGATTTGTTTAAAGGCTTTTATTAAACTCAAAAATAGCTGCACCGACGTCATACTATTTTTGTTGTGCTGATGGGTCGTATGTTTAAAAGTAGGTTCGTGTATAGGAAGATGCGTACAAGACATTCCTGACCCGGACATGCAGGTAATTTTATCCCGTGCATTTGGAGTGATATTCCGCCTCGCAAGGACACGATACGGGGGGCACCACGTGCAGTCCGCACGCAAGCATCCCCGTTCACGGCATCTTTTTATGATTGGTACGATCCGAATCAAAGATAAGACGAGATGGTACCTTAAAATGCATGCAGGATCATTTGCATTTATCCCCAAAGTAACCTAGCGAATTATTACAAAAGGAAAGATCGCGCTGGTACTAAACATCCCGTGAAATTATTCCGTCTTGTTTGCTGTCATGTAGAAGAAATGGGAAAAAAGTAGGTGATTTCCAACGATCAGTCAATTATTCATAAGGTGGAATTTTGCGTCGGGATAATGTAAATCAAATTAGGTTTTGCCCTTCACCGACGTATAAACACTGTATACTCAGTGTGTTACCTAAAAACAAAGAGGATCAGTCAATTGGCTAAAGAGTTCTATTGAAGACATTTTTGTTTCGTGATCAAAATGTTGTGTATATATTTCTTCCACTGTTTTCTCAGTAAAAGCGCAAGTGTAACATCCACTGAGCTGAAACAGGTTAAGTTTTGGACAGTCTTGTTCTTGGAATTTGAGTGGCGTTTATTAAGGGAAATGAACAAAATGCATGCAAAGCAAATGATCATATAATGCCTTCAACGGGGAATTTTCTTACAAAAAGGCACTAAAACTCCACATCGGATTAATTCAGAGCAATTTAAGGTTTTTGTCTCTTGCTAAAAACGGTCAATGCTGCTAAACGTCTGAATACAACTGAGGTACCGTTTTGCAAATACTGCCCAAGACCGAAATTATTTTGACTGAAATTTAGGTTACTCATACCAATTGTCGTGTTAAATATTATTGCCGATATTTAATTTT